GGTTGTTTGTGGCACTTACTACAGCCACCAGAGCGGGTCAGTAATCAGTGCAGGGCAGGTTCCAGTAGGCCGTGCCTGTGCTGCTTGGTGGTGTGATGTCAAGTGCACAGTGCAGGTAGGCAGGCTGTAGTGGGGAGATTGTTATGTGTGGAGCTAAGATGGATATGGGAGAGAGGAGAGAGGAACAAGAGCCCAAAACATACAAACAAACGAAAAAAGAGTGCTAGGGGAGCTTGCCATTGGAGTGGAGAGATGAGAGACTATGAAATGGAGAAGAAAAGGGGAAGAGAAAGAAAAAAAAGAAAACAAAAGAATGAATAAATAAAAATCAGAAAGGTTAAAGAACAGCAAAGTTCCCAGGGATCCCACCAGTGCAGGTATGAAGTCTGGGAAGTTGTTCTCAGGTGTTGCAGTACAGCCTGGCTAGAAGGCGTAGAGGTATACAACGCCAGGTATTCAGGGAACAGAAAGAGAAGATATAGAGAGACGAGAAACTGAGTAATGAAGAAAGACAGAAAGGGAAAAAGAGGGATAAGAAAACAAAACAAATTTAAAAAGAAAAAAAAAAAGAACAAGAAAAGCCCCCAAGAAAACAAAAAAAGGAAGAAAAAAACCAGCGAGAAAAGAAGTGTCCTGAGGGATCCCTCTGCACGTCTGTGCAAGCCAAGGGGCTAGTTTCCAAGCCATGCAGCACCGCCTGGCCAGAGCGGGCTGCCAACTCAAAAGGAAAAGAAAACAAACAATTCAAAACAAACAAGTGAATAAAAGCCCCGGGATCCCACCAGCGCGCCAGCCCAGACCGGAAGTGGCTCCACACTTGAACGGAGCTCCGCAGCCCCTCAGGAAGTAACAAAGATGGCTCATGGAGCCTGGTATTTGAGTGAAAGGAGGGGGAGGTGGTGAGACTTAAGGAAGAAATCAGAAGAAGCGGAAAAAAAGCAACACCTGCAGCCATCAGATGGCGCTCAAAGAGCCAGCTAGTGCGGGCTGGTGGAATCCAAGCAGCTGGTGTTTCCCGGAGAAGAGACTGTGTCCGCGGGAAGCAGAGGAGGCCAAGTGTGGGTGAAGAAGGGTAGGGAGTGGGAAAGCGTATATCACAAATTACCAGAGCTCTGCAGTCCCTCAGGAAGAAACAAAGATGGCACATGGAGCCAGGTATTTGAGGGAAAGGAGGGGGAGTTGGTGAGAGTTGAGGAAGAAATCAAAAGAAGCGGAAAAAAGCAACGCCAGCAGCCAACAAATGGCACTCAGAGAGCCGGCCCGTTCGGGTGGGTGGAATCCAAGCAGCTGGTGCTTCCCGGACAAGAGATTGTGGCCATGGGAAGCAGAGGAGGCCAAGTGGGGTGAAGAAGGGTGTGGGGTGGGAAAGCATATATCGCAAGTTACCGGTTGTTTTGTCTCCTGCTGGAAGCTCCGTTAAGCTGCTTTCTTGAACCCCCTGTTTGCTGTTCTCTGATAGGAGTCCAGGATGGCAGATCCACACTGCGTTAGCTGATAGGGGACCTCTGCATGAATCTCCTCACTCTCCGTTCTCTGTGATTTTTCTTACTCCATTTGGTGCTTGGCTGAGTTCTTTATCTCTTCATTTGATGTTTTAGGGTTTCAGGATTGTTGTTTCCTCTGTTCAGCTTAATTTTTCAGATCTTTGCTGTGGAGGGACGGTGTGGTGCTTCTGCCTAGAGCAACATTTTGCCGGAAGTCCGTCATCTCTTGTTTTAAGATGTTATGCCTCTGATCTACAGTTGTAGGTATACCATGGAATAAATGCACTCATGTTAATTCTAGTATGCTTGGAATTAGTAGGAAAAAACTTAAATAGGCTTATGTTTTATTTTGCTTTTGATTCAGATACACCCACTTCTCACTTAACCTCCATGGTTATGTTCCAAAGCCCAGTTCAAATATCAGCATTATGTGAAAATATAGGATGGCCACATCAGATCACAAAATGATGGTTGACTACATCATTACATAACTGCCAAATTACATCATTATGTAACTGCCAAACCATTGAGAATCATGGCCCAGCCAGGTTGACACATAACCTTAATCATCACAGCCAACGTTACTCTCACCTCACACCTTGGCATTCGTTACTGCTAGATGTACGTTGTTAATGCACAAAATAGTAGGATGGTAAATTTTTTACTGTTGTAAATGCAAAATGTCAGATAATGAGATAGTCAATAAGTGAAGAGTAGGTGTAACTTAGAAATCACTTATGTTCATTTAGTATGGCACGTAAGAAGTCATGTAATACAAGTATGTGGCATTAAATTTAATTAAAACTTGCCTTCCCATTCACTTCTCTTGTCCCAAGGAGGAGTTAGAGGTAGGGGCGTGAAAAGTCCTTTCCTTTTCTTACGCTTTGTCTTGGTTTACCAAACCCTTCACCCTAATTTGCTACTGATAGCAAGACTTGTAGAGTTTAGTTTAACTATTTTCATTCTCGTGACATTAAAAAGCAACTCCCCCCAAAAGAAAAGAAATCTTTCCCCCCCTCCCTGAGTATACCAGCAAAATGTGCTCTTGGTAGAGAATTAGAAAGATGCAGAAAAGCACAAAGAAAAAGAAACTGTCCATAATCCTACCATCCAGAGGAAAGCACTATGAATATTTTACGTATATCCTTCTAGTTTTTTTTTTTTAATTATGTCTAGATTTCATACATACTAACTATATACCTATCTCTTTTGTCCCCAACCTCATCTCCAGACACTTTTCTCTGGTGTTCTACTTATGTGAACTGTTTTCAGCTATGAAATACATTGTACTTTTCAGCTTTTGATCGTTGTTTGTCCAATTGTTAGTTTTTTCTCTCCTTTCTTTCCCAGCCTTCCCACCTCCTATTCATCCTTTCGGTTCAGATCCACCCAGTAGCTCTGTAGGAGAAAGATCTGGCAGTCTGCTCCTAAAAAGATTATAGCCTAGAAAACCCTGTGGGGGCAGTTCTACTCTGTCCTGTAGGGTTGCTATGAGTTAAAATCAACTCAGTTGACACCTAAAAACAACAACATCGATGTTTATGCCACAATCTTCCCTTGACCTTTCCCCACCCCATCCCTACATATGTTGTTGTGGGAATAGCTCTTAAAGACATTTAAATAAGGAAAGCAAGTTACAGAAAGTAACGTATGATACCATTTTTGTTAAAAAAAAAAAAGTCCATTTTCTATGACTATATCTAATTTATGAAAATGTATAGAAAAAAATAATCTAGAAGGGTGTACACGCAAAAATGCCCCCTGGAGAGGGCACTGGGGTTGACAGTGGTCTTTAAGGAGAACTTTAGCCTATATTTAATATTTAATTTTTTATTAGGGAGAATGTTTTTATGTATTTCATTAAATGCATGTGTGTTTATACTTTTTTTTTTTTTTTAAGCAAGGTGAAAGGAGGTCTGTCTCTTCTCTTCTAGAAGCTTTAGCATAGTAATGCCTCACAGGTAGAGTGATGAGTTAAGAAGCTTGGATGAGCCTGAGCTTGAATATGGTGATGATGTGCTTTAAGGCTTAGGACAATGCAGTCTTAAGACGATAATTTTGTTAAAGGTTTTAAAAAACTTGGCACGTAGTTTTTAAGTAGACTTCAGAGAAAAATTTTAAGGACTTTCTTGCATCTCAGTACAGTGCTAGGTGCTGGGAAAATTCAGAAGAGTAAGATAGTTTGCCCTTACAGGAGTTCACAGAAACTTGTACAAGTATTGAGATGATCAATACAATAGTCCTTGTGGGAGAATGGAGAAAAATGGCCAAAATGTTTGAGAATCTTACTTCTCCATTCCTTTGATAAGTGAGAATCAGTCCTAATTATCTGAATTAACTTTCTTACATTCTCAATCGTTTCTTAGGAAAAAAAAGCTGCATTGGAAAAGGAGCGGGAAGAAAGGATAGCTGAAGCTGAAATTGAGAACTTATCTGGAGCCAGATACATAGAAAGTCAAAAACTTGCACAAATATTGGCAGCCAGGCAGTTGGAAATTAAACAGATTCCTTCTGATGGCCACTGCATGTATAGAGCCATTGAAGATCAACTGAAAGAACAGGATTGCCCTCTGACTGTGGCTGCCTTAAGAAGTCAGACTGCTGAATATATGCAAAGCCATGTGGAAGACTTTCTGCCATTTTTAACAAACCCCAATACAGGAGATATATATACTCTAGGTAATTTATTTTTCTTTACTATGTTTTGTTGCTTTTAAATAAAGTGTTTCCTGGGACCAAGCATAAGAAAAACCCGTATGGTCCTATGAGTTAAAAACATCACAGCATTTAGACAGAATTATTTTCTGTGCAGGTAGTCCCTGACTTACAGTTTTACAACATATTCAAGTTATGATGAACCGCAGCACTTGCAACCACCCTCAACCCATCAGCTTTTTGTTTTGGTACATCTTATTAGTAATATGTTGTAGCCCATAATTTGCTGATGTTATCATTCTCAGATGTTCACTTGTAGGTGTTCACAATTTTACAATTTACTGTTCAAAACTGCCAGATTTATAAAGATACTGATAATAAAAAGCAATAATAATGAAAACTAAAAAAAAATTAGAGGTATTTGACATGTCAGAACTGACTTACAGCAGAGTCGTCAAAACAAAACCCTCTTGTGAGTCAACGACCACCTGTGATTTTAATAGATACTAGTACATGTTGTTTTATTAAACCAGTTGCCTTCAAGTTGACTTTGACTCATGGCGATCCCGTATGTATCAAAGTAGAATCGTGTTGTGCTCCACAGGGTTTTCAATGGCTGATTTCTCAGAAGTAGATCTCCAGGTCTTTCTTCCAAGGTACCTCTGGGTGGAACCTCTAACTGTTTGCACTACCCAGGGACCCCAGCTGGTTTATTAAGATGCTTTAATTTTAAGTACTTAACCATTTTGCAGGTAAAACATATAAATCATGTTACATAAGAGAAAAAAGTAGGAACAGGATTCATTGTTATTATAAAAAATGTGTTGATTAGTACATATTTAACAAAATGCTAGGCATAGAGGGAGTTAAGCTTTGACCAGTCTTTGGAAATAAAGGGCCTAAAGATCATAAGCAGAGAATGATTAGGAAAACTTAATTCCTTCTTTTATCCTTTTGTTTATTTATTGGGAGAAAATTTAGCATAAAATGGCAAAAAAGGAGATATTGTCCCCTTATACATGGAGATTGGAATCTCTGAAGTTAATCACAAATTCTTCCCTTAGTTCACTTTGCTCTTTTCTCTTTTGACCAGTGGTTCTTGGTGACTGCACTTTGGAATCCTTGGGAAGCTTTAAAACATACTAGTTCTTGGGTTCTTGAAGTGTCTGATTTTTTATCAGAATTTTTTTTTTCCTTCATGTTACAGCTCCCAGGTGATTCTAAGTTTGCAGTCAGACTTAAGAACCGCTTCTCAATGGTCCCCCCAGACCAGCAGCATAAATGTCAACTGGAAAATTTGTTAGAAATGCAGATTCTTGGGCTCCACCTCAGACCTACTAAATAAGAAGTTTCAGGGGCTAGTCCAGGGGTCTGTGTTTTAATTACAAGCCTTCTAAGTGATCCTAATGTTTCTGCTGAAGTTTGAGAACCACTGTTTAAGGTAGTATCCCTAGGGATCTCATTTCTTCCCTCAAACCTGTGTCTTCTGCACCACTTAGGCCTGATAATTATACCTGCTAGATACCTCCTTTAAAATGAATTATGCTCATTTCAAATTTAGTTTGTCTCAAGTTGAAGGAGATATCTATATTTCAGGTAGTTCAAAAACAAACGAAATACTATCCAGTTTCTTCTTTATATTCTCTTTCATGGCCTATGATACCTACCCAGTCCCCTAAGGTAAAAGCTTTTAGCAGCAATATAATTTTTTACCTTCAACCTTAGTTCCTATATTCAGTAAATCTCCATTTCATTTCCTCCCTACTTTCTCTTCTTGAGTAGTATACCCATTGCCGTTTAGTTGATTCCGACTCATAGCGACCCTATAGGACAGAGTAGAGCTGCCCCATAGGGTTTCCAAGGCTGGAATCTTTATGGAAGCAGACTGCCACATCTTTCTCCCACAGAGTATCTGGTGGATTTGAACCACCAACCTTTCCGTTAGCAGTCGAGTGCTTAACCACTACACCACAAGGGCTCCTTCTTGAGTAATACAGTATAACATAATAATGAAGAGCACGGACTTTGGAGTTCAAATTATGGCTTTAATAATTGTGTGACCTTAAACTGTTTCCTGATATTTTTTGTGCCTCAGTTGTATCTTCTTGCTAAAGCTAATGATTCTTGCCTCAAAAGGAATGCTTATGAGGATTAAATGAGAAGATGTACATAAAGTACTTTAGTATACTATCTCCAGGGTATAAGCACTGTTAAGATGGAAGGTTTTATTATTATGAAAGTAATAATGTTGATTAAAAAATGTGGATAATACCTATAATCGTAAAGAAAATAAAAACCACTTATAAAAAAAACCTCTAAGATTTTAGAGAGGACCACATCTTTTTTTCTTAACACAGAATTGAGAATGTATTGTATGGTTTTACATTTTTTCTTTACTGCATAAGCATTTCCAGTGTCATTCACATTACTTAAAATGGTGATTTTTTTTTTATTTAGGTGAAGGTTTACAGAACAAACTAGCTTCTCATTAAGCAATTAGTACACATATTGTTTTATGACATTGGTTAACAACCCCACAAAACGTCAGCACTCTCGCTTCTCGACCTTGGGTTCACTATTACCCGCTTTCCTGTCCCCTCCTGCCTTCTAGTCCTTGCCCCTGGGCTGGTGTGCCCCATTAGTCTCGTTTTGTTTTATGGGCCTGTCTAATATTTGGATGAAGGATGAACCTCAGGGGTGACTTCATTACTGAGCTAAAAGGTGTCCAGGTGTCATACTCTTGGGGTTACTCCAGTCTCTGTTAGGCCAGTAAGTCTGGTCTTTTTCTGTGAGTTAGAATTTTGTTCTACATTTTTCTCCAGTTCTGTCTGGGACCCTCTCTTGTGATCCCGGTCAGAGCAGTCAGTGGTGGTAGCCAGGCACTATCTAGCTGTGCTGGACTCAGTCTGGTGGAGGCCATGGTAGTTGTGGTCCATTAGTCCTTTGGACTAATCTTTCCCTTGTATCTTGTTCTCTTCATTCTCCCTTGCTCCCGAAGGAGTGAGACCAGTGGATCATCATAGATGGCTGCTCATAGGCTTTTAAGACCCCCAGACACTACTCACCAAAGTAGAATGTAGAACATTTTCTTTAAAAACTATGTTATGCTGATTGAGCTAGATGTTCCCTGAGACCATGGTTCCCACAGCCCTCAGCCTAGTAATTCAGTCCTTCAGGGAATTTGAATGTGTCCGTGGAGCTTTTAAAATGTGATATTTTTAATGATTATGTAGTTTTTTATCTTATAACTTTACCGTCATTTAACTATTTCCCTGTTGTTTCCAGCTTTTGCTTTTTATTTTTATAAATTGTGCTTTAGAGATTAGTACTAAAAATGTCTGACAATACTTTTAATTACTTACAGTTATATTTCTAGGAGTGGAATTACTGGCCCAAATATGAACTTTTAGAGGATTTGATCCTTTTTACCAAATTATATTCCAGGAAATTATACCAATTTACACTCACTTTTCTTTCTCCTTTTTTTTAAATAATATTGTGCTTTTGGTGAATATTTACCCAGCAAATTAGATTCCCTTTTAACAATTTGTATACGTACTATTCAGTGACATTTGTTACATTTTTCACGTGTCAACATTCTCATTATTTTTGTTCTGGTTCCATTTCCATTAATCTAGTTCCCCTCCCCACCCTCCACCCCCATCTCTTCTTTGCTGTTGACCATTTGATCTCACATAGGGGATTTTATTTTATTTTTTTACAGGATCACTGTACTCATGGGTAATATTGTTTATTTCATGAGCCAATCTGTGATTTAAATGAAATGTGACCTCTGGTAGTGGTTTCAGTTCAAAATTTAGAGGGTATCTCAGGAAGATAGTCTTGGGGGTTCCTCTAGTCTCAGTCGGTCCAGTTAGTCTGGCCTTTTTAAGATTTACTCATTTATCTTTATTTTTTTCCAGAAAGCATCTTCTATGTCATTGCCATAGTCTGAGATTAGGTCCTTATCTGTTACCTGAAGAATTACATTCAGTTTTGGAAAGTACATTTTCTTCTCTCTACTTTTCTGTAATTTATAATCCTACCTCAGACGTCATTCTGTGGATATATCTAAACTTAATTGTAATCATGCTATATGTATAGTTCTATATTCCACATTTTTCTCTTCCCATTGTATCGTATTTTTCATGTTATGATTTTTTCTTCTTTGATGGTATTTTATGATTGTGTAAGTTTCCGTCAGATGACTATTCCATGGTTTACTAACTATATATGTTAATGTTCAGTGTTTCAGGTTATTTCCAGTTTTTCACCATTATCTAAAAGTTTTTGACACTTTTATATAAGTTGATTATACATTTGCCCTTGAGTGATGGCGACCCCACGTGTGTCACAGTAGAATTCTGCTCCATAGGGTTTTCAGTAGCTGATTTTTTGATAGTAGATTGCCAGGCCTTCCTTCTAGGATGCGTCTGGGTGGACTTGAACCTACAACCTTTCAGATAGCAGGCAAGTGCATTAACCATTTGCACCACATACATATGCATATACTTGACACTTGTTATCAAATGGCTTTTTCAAAAAATAATAAACACAATGCGAGAGGGTGCCTGATTTATTATGCTTACCAGCATTGACTTTTATCATTAAAAAATGCAGAAATGATAGTTAATTATTTCATTTCTAATTTCTTTTACTTTTGATTAGATTGAAAATTTCCGTTTGCTAACCAGACAGACCAGTTTTCCCTTTTGTGAACTGTATGTTTTTGCCATTTGTCTTATTTATCTTTTAATCTAACATAACGAACTTATTTAAAATAATGAACTCATTCTGAAAGAAAAAAATTAAAGAAATTTACACATTATCGACAAAACAGCAAACCAATAAAATAAAAAATTAACCATAATGTGATGAATTATACTTAACTGAAACTAAATAGCATTTAAAATAGGAGTAGTATTGACAGCTACAGAGTAGGTTTTGAGTCCTTTATTCTTACGCTATTTTGTGCTGTTTGCTTACTAATCTTTTCCCATTAGCCAAAACTGTTAAATGTTACTTAGCACTGATGAAATTGTGATTGTAAACACCGGTACGGATTTAAAATGGTGTAGAATATGTTTATTATTAATGTTTTAAACTTTGAAATGAAAACTAATGTATAATTATTCTGGAGCACTTTCGGAATCCCCAAGCATATTACCAGAACTACAGTTGAATAAACAATAGCCCTAACAGTCCAAGTACTTTCATGTCTTTTTGCTCTTGCTGATGTTATTCATGGTACCTGGATTTTGTCTTTATCTTACATACCTGATCAGTTCAAAGTTTGGCGCTATTGTAGCATCTGTGAAATCTTGGCAGATTTCTTTGGCAACTACTGCCTCTTATCTCTCGTTCTTAGCTGTGTTTCCATGGTGGATAGCACATAAGTGTTTTAATATTTGTTACAGATTTTCATGCTTATACTTGACCTACCCAGGTTGAATAAAATGTAGTGTCCTGACACCTAGTAAGTACTTACTACATATTTGCTGAATGAAGTGAATGAGTGACCATGAGCTCAATAGTGCAAGCACTTTCAGAATGCCTGGTTCATAAAAGGAATTGATAGATAGTTATTGGCTAATTGAATAAAGAGCAAAGAGAAAAAAATATTTTCAGGCTGTCCAACAAAATAAATAGGTTCAGGGAAGTGAAGTATGTTCTCTTTTATTAGATGAGATTTCTATGAATTAAATTTTCATTTTTACTTGGTTGACATGTTTAGTAGTTTCCCTTAAATAACTATTTTAATGACCTTTAATTATAACACAGATCTCCTCTTACCCTTTTTTTCTCAGAACACAAAAATAGACCAACGTGTAAAACCATTAAAAAAAAAAAAAATAGCTACTATTGATTGGCTGTTGATCATGTCCTAGGCTCTTGTTCAAAATGTATCTGTTTTCAGCTGAATTGGCAAGGTAGCTTTTATTTCCATTTTTGAGTAAGAAAACTACAGTACACAGATTTAAAACTCAAACCCAAGACTCTCTGATGGCTGCAAATCTTTGGGACTTTTCCTTGTGCTTCTCAGTAGAAAGAAAAAGCGTACCTCCTCTTAGTTCTTATTATCCCCAAACCATGACTGTTTTATGTTCTTTAGTGGAGGAGTTGAGTCATTAATTCATGTGAATCTGTTGTTCCCAAATGGAACGCAAGTTTTCTTTGGGAAAAAGTATGTCTATACTATCATATACTATCATAGTTCACTACGAACTAACACATTTGTATCAAATTTATTGACATTTTTGTAAATATCTTTTATTGTTACCCCTCAGATTCTTTTCTGGAAATAGGCACAGTGCAGTAAACCTGTGGGATTTAAAGTACTGTATTATAGAAAGAGATTTCTAACTTGGTGGATGGGTGGATGAGCTTTATTTGGTTGGCTTCAATCTGAACTTCTGGAAATTGTATGGAAAATTGTGTGTGTGTACATTAGATTTTGATCATGGGTGGGTGGAGATGAGAGGGGTAGAATATCCACAGCTTCATAAAAGATTTCAAAAGGATTTATGGGTGCCATTAAATCACTGCTCAAATTGTATTTATGAACATAGGGATTCTCTTCCTAAAGGTATCGAACAGGTGTATTTCTCAGAAAATGCAAGTCTTCATGAATAGGTTCAACATATTAGTATATGACCATCACACATAAATTTGATAGAGGCAGATAGCCTGGGCTTAATATAATGAACGAGCAAATAAGAGAGCAAATGAAAATCTGAAAGGGATTTGAGGGATTAAGGGATGAAATAGAGTAAAGTTAATACTAGAGAGAAGATGGCAGGTGCAGCAGTATCTGTTGAGAGGAAGTTATTTGGCCAGAGTGAGTAGAGAGGAAGGTTAAGGTTTCCTTTAATGGAGTCTGCACTCCATGGAAGATTGATGAAGCATGATATAGAATGCTTATCAGAATGATTACTGTCAGTGAATTAGGTCTCCTTAGGCCATAGCCTAACCTATCTGTTGATAAATCTCAGGTATGACTGTGGGCATATCTAATTCTAGAGCCAACTAATTTCTAATTTCCCATTTATGTCATGTAAGATGTTAACACGTTTGCTGTTTTAAATATCATTGCTATTTTCTAAATAGAATTTGTTATGACACATGAACATTTTTCTGTATCTTATATAGAAGTCACATGATAAGTGAATCTTCTATAATATGTCTCTAGGAGGGAGTATTAAATCATTGAAACTCTCCACCTCTGCTAGTTGTAGAGCAGTCAAGTGGAGGTGGCAGAGAAAAAGACAAAAGAATTACCTTCATTCACTCAGTCAGTGTTTATTTAAGGTGACTGTACCAAGCACTATTTCAGTCACTTTTCTGATCGCTGGGGATATATCAATGAATGAGATAAACACAGTTCATACTCTCATGGGGCATACTTTCTTCTAAATGCCCATAATTCCTCCTCCTTCTCTAAATAGTGGTCCCTGGGAGGCACAAATGGTTAAGCACTCAACTATCGGCTGAAAGGTTAGTGGTTCAAACCCACCCAAAGGTGCCTCAGAAGACAGGCCTTGAAAACCCTAAGGAGTAGTTCTGCTTTGCACACGTGGAATTGCCATGATTCAGAATCAACTCAACGACAGCTAACAACAACAGCCCCTTAACAGGAATGGTGTTTGTTGCTTATTTTAACTTGCTGCACAGAAATATGTAAGTACAAGATAAGCCCGTTATAAACTCTGATTAGGTCTTTAACCTCTCCTCTCGGGTGATCTGGGAAGCCCCTTCCTTGGGCTAGAACTGACACTGATGCAAATAAGGTAAATGCTTCCAAAATAACAGTGAAAGGCACCATTTGATGCTGTCGGTGGAGCAGAAGTTTAGACTGATTTGCACTTTGCCTTGATTCTCTTCTCACATGTCGTACGTGGTCTTATGAACCTTATTAAAAAAACCAAACCTGTTGCCGTCGAGTCGATTCTGACTCATAGTGGCCCTATAGGACAGAGTAGAACTGCCGGCCTTTTGGTTAGTAGCCATAGCAGTTAACCACTACACCACCAGGGTTATTATAATAAGGCCACCGTTTTTAGTCTTTAGCTATATTCTTTGGGAAACATGGCAAAATAGTGAAATATAGTGGCAGTTTTGGGAGTAATTACTTGGGATGAAGTGAGGGAAGTAGGTTTGTTTTGTAGTTAAGATCCCTGCACCTCAGGCTGACGGAGGGAAGCAGAAAGAGATTGTGCTTTTGGATGGAAAGGTAGTACAAAGTTGGAGTAAAAGGATCTGAGACATAGATTAAATTCTGCAAGTTACTGGTAAAGAAGGAGGAAGTTCATAACGGGCAGTTTCATCAGGAATTGTGGAAGCTATAAAAGGGATATTGTAACATGATTTATGAAAATTATTAAGTGCTATAGTCTGATCTCTTTACAGAAGAGTTTGGAAAGTACTGTGATGACATTGTAAACACAGCTGCTTGGGGAGGTCAGCTTGAGGTAAGTTTGTAATTATTCATAATAATTGTGGATTGTTAAATTATTTCTAAATCCCATCTGTAGTTTTCATATATACTTTCCCAATTATTCCTTTTTTTAAAATTTTTTTATTTGCTATTTATCTACTGACAAAGCCTTGAAGTCGAGAGTTAACATTCTTATGCCTTTGAATGAAGTATGTACTTTGGGGAACTGAAGCACTGTTTCATTTTAAATAGCGCAGTGGTAGATCTGTGTCTTGGCTAGGCTGGTGTTGCATCTGCATAAGTCTTTCCATTTATGATGCTGCCACTGGCAGTATATCTGATTTTCTGGACCTGTGAAAGGGAAGATTTTACTCAAGTACAGCAAAATTTACCCTAGTGCCTCAGCTGCTGAAGATTACTTTTGGAAAAGTAACCTCTCTATTACATCATAAACAGAAAGCATTACTGTTTTGAAAATACAAGTCAAATCCTACTACAACACATCTATTGTAACTGTGTTTTGAATTCCTAGTTTATAGTGACTAACTTACTTGAAAGCAGTATTTGATACATTAAAATTCAAGTGTAAGAAAATATATTCAGTCACTGGTAGGGACTTAGGGATTTCTCTTTAAATCTAATTACTTATCTTACTGTTACCTTTGTTTTATTAAAACAATAAACAAAGTACCTAAATAGTCCAGCTGGTGATGAGACAGCTTGGTGTATAGAAAGACAAAGGATAAGAGGGAGAGGGTAAATCTCAGGTTGACATCCTAGCTTTTGTTTCCACTTCTCAGTTTTGCGACCTTGGGGAAATTAGCCAAGCTCTTAATTATTGAATGGGGACAATAAAACACCTGTGTGTACTCTGTAGGGTACCTGTGAACATTTAATAAAGTACATGAAAGTATGGAGTGCGTTCATGTGAGTTTGTAAGTTAAAGTGCCAGATGGTTGAATCTGTCGTGATTATTATTATTAATGGCATTTGTCTTAGTCATATAGTGCTGCTATAACAGAAATACCACAAGTGGATGGCTTTAACAAAGAGAAGTTTATTCTCTCACAGTCCAGTAGGCTACAAGTCCAAATTCAGAGCATCAGCTCCAGGGGAAGGCTTTCTCTGTCGGCTTTGGAGGAAGGTCCCTGTCATCAGTCTTCCCTTAGTCTAGGAGCTTCTCTGCACAGGAACCTCAGGTCCAAAGTGCGCACTCTGCTCCCTGCGCTGCTTTCTTGGTGGTATGAGGTTCCCATGTGTCTCTGTTTGCTTCTCTCCTTTATATCTCAGAAGAGATTGGCTTAAGACACTATCCAGTCTTCTATACCTCATCAGTATAACTGCCACTAATCCATCTTCTTACATCATAGTGATAGAGTTTACAACACATAAGGAAGTCACACCAGATTATAAAATGGTACACAATCATACAATACTGGGAATCATGACCCAGCCAAGTTGACAAATATTTTTTGGGGCCACAATTCAATTCATGACAATATTGTATAGTGATGATTGGTCATCTTGAATAGGTTTTGGCTCTGAATATTTCATTTCAACAGCTATGTGTTTTGAAGCTGTAAGGTGAATGAATACTTTCTTAGAACTTTTTCTCAGAAGTGCTCTATTTGTACCTCTTCTGAGCCACCAGGGGGAGCTGTGTCCATTCATTTTTTTTATCTCTTTCCTGATCTTTCAAACTGTGAGGATGCTTTCATAGTAGCTTTCTGATTGACATCTTTAGGAATAAAGATGCTTGAACTTTCTTATAAGGATCACAAATTAATATAAATGTTAGCAACCTAAGCAAATTTTTTTTTTAATTAAGAAAAGCCTTTTATTTTTTTTCTTTGTTTTTTCTACTTTAAGTGAAAGTTTACAAGTCAAGTTAGTCTCTCATACAAAAATTTATACACACATTGTTATGTGACCCTTGTTGCTCTTCCTCTACTGTGACAACACACTCCTCCTTTCCACCCCAGATTTCCCATGTCCATTCAACCAGCTCCTGACCCTCTCTGCTTTCTCATCTTGCCTCTGGACAGCAGCTGCCCATTTAGTCTCATGTATCTTCTTGAGCTAAGACGCATACTCTTCACAAGTATCATTTTATGTCCCATAGTCCAGTCTAATCTTTGTCTGAAGAGTTGACCTCGGGAATGGTTTTAGTTTTGGGCTAACAGAGTCTGAGGGCCATGTTTTCTGGTGTCCCTCCAGTCTCAAGCCATTAAGTCTGGTCTTTTTACTAGTTTGAGTTCTGCACTCCACTTTTCTCCTGCTTCATCAGGGACTCTCTGTTGTGTTCCCTGTCAGGGTGCTCTTTGGTGGTAGCCAGGCACCGTCTAGTTCTTCTGGTCTCAGGCTGATGAAGTCTCTGGTTTATGTGGCCCTTTCTGTCTCTTGGGCTAATACTTTCCTTGTATCTATGGTGTTCTTCATTCTCCTTTGCTCCAGGCGGGTTGGGACCAATTGATGCATCCTAAGTGGCCGCTCACTAATTTTAAGACCCCAGACGCCACTTACCGAAGTAGGATGCAGAACATTTTCTTAATAAACTTTGTTATGCCAGTTGACCTAGATGTCCCCTGAAACTATGGTCCCCAGACCCCAGTCCATGCTACTCTGTCCCTCGAAGTGTTCGGTTATAGTCAGGAAACTTCTTAGCTTTGGTTTAGTCCAATTGTGCTGAATTCCTCTGTAGTGTATGCTGTCCTTCCCTTCACCTAAGATAATTCTTGTCTACTATCTAGTTAGTGAATACCCCTCTCCATCCCTCCCCACCCTCGTAACCAGCAAAGAATGTTTTCTTCTGTGTTTAAACATTTTCTTGAGTTTGTATAATAGTGGTCTTATACAACATTTGTCCTTTTGCAACTGACTAAATTCACTCACCATAATGCCCTCCAGATTCCTCCATGTTATAATACGTTTCACGGATTCATCGTTGTTCTTTCTCATTTCATAGTATTCCATTGTGTGAATGTCATGGTTTGAATTATGGCCCCCCAAAAATGTGTGTATCAGTTTGGCTGGGCCATAATTCCTGGTACTGTGTGATTTCCCTATGTGTTCTAAATCCTGCCTCTGTGATGTTAATGAGGGAGGATGGGCGGCAGCTGTGTTAGGAAGGCAGGACCTGATCTACAAGACTGGATTGTGTCCTGAGGCAAGCTCTTGAGATATAAAAGAGGGAAGTGAGCAGTGAGACAGGGGGACTGCATACCATCAAGAAAGCAGTGCCAGGAGCAGAGCGCATCTTTTGGACTGGGGTCCCTGCGCAGAGAAGCTCCTAGTCCGGGAGAACACCGAAGAGAAGAAGGCCGATGGAGAGAAAAGGCCTTCCCCTGGAGCTGATGCCCTGAATTTGGACTTTTAGCCTACTTTGACTATGAGGAAATAAGCTTCTCTTCATTAAAACTATCCACTTGTGGTATTTCTGTTGTAGCAGCACTAGATAACTAAGACAGTTAACATACCATAATTTGTTTATCCATTTGTCCGTTGATGGTCGCCTAGGATTTTTGCTATTGTGAACAGTGCTGCAATGAACATGGGCGTGCATATATCTATTCTTGTGACAGCTCTTATTTCCCTAGGATATATTCCAAGGAGTTGGATTGCTGGATCATGTGGTAATTCAATTTCTAGCTTTTTAAGGAAGTGTCAAATCGATTTCCAATGTGGTTGTACCATTTTACATTCCCAACAACAGTGTATAATTGTTCCAGTCTCTCCACCTCTCCAACATATATTATATGGTGTTTTTTGGATTAAACCTAGCCTTGCTGCGGTGAGATGGTATCTCATTGTAGTTTTGATTTCTATTTCTTTAATGGTTAATGATCATGAGCATTTCCTCATGTGTCTGTTAGCCCCCTGAGTGTCCTCTTTGGCGAAGTGCCTGTTCATATCCTTTGCCCATTTTTAAATTGGGTTATTTATCTTTTTGTTGTTGAGGTTTTGCAGTATCTTGTAGACTTCAGAGATAAGACGCTGATCGGATTTGTCGTAGCCAAAAATTTTTTCCCAGTTTGTAGGTTGTCTTTTGACTCTTTTGGTGAAATCTTTTGATGAGCATAAGTGTTTGATTTTTAGGAGCTTGCAGTTATCTAGTTTCTCTTCTGGTGCTTCTACATTGTTACTTATGGTTTGTATTCTGTTTATGCCATGTATTAGGGCTCCTAGCACTGTCCCTATTTTTTCTTCCATGATCTTTATTGTATTCAATTTTATATTTAAGTCTTTGATCTATTTTGAGTTAGTTTTTGTGCATGGTGTGAGGTATGGGTCTTGTTTCACTTTTTTGCAGATAGATACCAGTTATGCCAGCACCATTTGTTAAAGAGACTGTCTTTTCCCCAATTAACAGACTTTGAGCCTTTGTCAAATATCAGCTGCTCATGGGTGGATGAATTTACATCTGGTTTCTTAATTCTGTTCCATTGGTCTATGTATCTGTTGTCGTACCAATACCAGGCTGTTTGGACTACTGTGGCAGTATAATAGGTTCCAAAATCAGGTGTTGTGAGGCCTCCCACTTCATTCTCCTTCTTGAGTAATGCTTTATTATCCGGGGCATCTTCCCTTTCCATATGAAGTTCTTGATTGGTTTCTCCATCCATTAAAAAATGCTGTTGAAATTTGGATCGGGATTGCATTGTATCTGTAGATCACTTTGGGTAGAATTGACATTTTCGCAAAATTGAATCTTTCTATCCATGAGCAAGGTATATTTTTCCACTTACGCCGGTCTGTTTTGGTTTCTTGCAGTAGTGACTTTTAGTCTTCATTGTATAGGTCTCCTGCGTCTGTGGTTAGATTTATTCCTAAGTATTTTATCTTCTTGGGGGTGATTGTAAATGGTATTGATTTGGTGATTTCCTCTTGGAAGTTCTGTTTGTTGATGTACAGGAGTCCAACTGATTTTTGTATGTTTGTCTTGTATCCCGATACTTTGCTGAATTCTTCTACTACTAGTACTACTAGTACTAGTACTACTACTACTACTGCTACTACTACTTCTAGTAGTTTTCT